CTTCAAGAATAAAAGGCAAAGAAGGGACAGGATGCTGTAAAATAGGAGCAGAGGCGAACGCAGTCTTAAGAAATTCAAAAGCCTCAAGCGCCTCTGGGGACCATACACGAGTATTACCATCCTTTTTAGTCATACGGGTTATAGGCGCTAGAAACTGCTGTTAAGGTTTTAGAAATACCAGGATGTCCAGCAGTTTTGGTGTCATGATATAATGACATAATGTCCCGTCTTTCGGGAACATCAACGAACAGTTTATCAGCAGGTCTCTCTCTAGGTGCCATGTTTTGTTTAGCCTGTATAACTTGCAAGAGTGAAGAAGAAATAGATAGAACCGTAGTAGCTATTATTCTGTCCGGGGGAATGACAGGGGTATCATCAAACTCTTGTTTGTCGGTAGTTTCAAATTGTCTGGACAGAGCGTCGGCTTTAGTGTTACGATCACATGGTCTGTAGGTGATGATATAATTGAATAGAAGAAAAACCTTTAATAAAGCATCTATAATAGAAAAAACAAGAAAACACTGAATGGCTTTCAGACCTTGAGGTAGAGGCCATTCTATGACAGCGGAAAGCTTCTGGGGATCCCTACGAAAACACTTAGCAGAAATTACATACCCCAAAAACTGGACTTCGGATTGATCAAATAAACATTTTTCTAGTTTACAATAAAGACCATTAACAAGAAGGGTTTTCAAAATGAATTTAACATGCATGTGATGAGTATGCAAATCGGTTGAATATATTAATATGTCGTCCAAGTACACTATTACAAATGTGTGAATGAACTCTCGTAACACATCATTAATACATTCTTGAAACACTGCTGGGGCGTTGCAAAGACCAAATGGCATCACAGTGTACTCGTAATGACCACTCCTAGTATTGAATGCAGTTTTCCATTCATGGTCCTTTTTTGTACCTATGAGATTGTATGCACCTCTAAGGTCCAGTTTAGTAAATACAGTAGCTTGTTTAAGCCTGTCAAATAATTCTGTGATTAAAGGTATAGGGTAAGCATTTTTTATGGTGATTTTATTTAGACTCCTATAATCGATACAAGGTCTTAAATCGCCCTCCTTCTTCAACACAAAGAAGAACCCAGGATCTCCTTATAAACCCCTTTTATAAAGATTCTCTAATATATTCTTCCATGACACGGTTTCTTGAGGAGACAAAGGATATACCCTCCCTTTGGGAGGTATAGTGCCAGGCAATAAATCAATAGCACAATCGTAGGGTCTGTGAGGCGGTAATTTTTCAGCCTCCCTTTTATCGAAGACAGACTTAAGAGACATGTACTGAGGAGGTATAACAGTAGACAAAGGAGGAGTAGAAAGAACATTAATAGAATTTAAAGGG